TCCTATATGAGTAAAATAAACAGATCTGACACAATTTCCATAAATACACAGTCAGTTTAAGAATACTGGTTGTATGGTTTAGAAATAAAAGGCTAATTGCCCTCAAAATTAAAATAACGCTACCTCAAAAAAACTTGCACCAGGAGATGGCTGGCACCTGTTTCTGCCCAATCTTATTTTCCTAACAGATGGGCAGTATCATCTTTTTTCTTTCAGTCCCATTGTCCCAACTGAAGGCCTAATCTAAAATCCACTGAAATCAATTGGAGATATTCACACTAGCCTCCAGGGTATTGGATCAGGCCCAAGCTTAGAAAAATTATACACCATGCAAAACATCACATACTTGCACTGTTCTACTTTTAGATCCTATAAGAAAGATGAGAACCTACTCACTCTTTGTGCCCTTCTACATTTACTATATATTTGAGTGTGAGTCTGTCCATCCATCCATCTGTCTGTCTGTTCAAGAACTGCTCCTAAATGCTAAGAGCTAGAACCATCAAATTCAGTATGCAGCTTCCTCTTGTCATAACTTAAAGAAATGTAAGTGTTGGGTTATAACAGGAAAATGGGATGTGCCTGGAATGGGATTGCTTCTTATAAAACCATACAGAAAAGAGACAGAATCACCAAGCAGGTGAAAGAAGCTAGCTGGGAGTGCGCCCTCCCTCCTCTTGTACTACCCCAGTCCTGAGCCTCCTACTGCCCCAGGTTCCCTTTGGGGAGAGCAAGGGGAGGGCTGACGCTCCCCCCTCCAATTTGTATGGGAACATTGCTGGCTATTCCCCTTTGTTTGGGGGGGGGGAGAAAAAAAGTACACACAGTTTGCTTCTTTCCTCACTCTGTCAGGGAAGCACAGAAGGCTGATGAACCTGGACCTGCCCCATCCAGGGGACATGCACCCCTCCCCTGCTATGCCTGCTGAAGTTGCAGCAGTCATCAAGAGGTGCTTCTCACCTGGCCCCAAGCTACTACCATGAGAGCGAGCTGGGGTAGTCCTCTCTCCCCAGGGCAGCCTGCATACTGAACCCTCATCCATGGCCCACTCCCAGAGCAACGATTTAAATGAAGCATGTACGTTTTTCATTTTGTTTTCTAAAAATTAAAATGAACTGAGTTAAGGACCCAAGCAATGCTGGGTAAATCTTCTAGTTATGAATAATCTGTAGTTCCAATAGACATTAAAATGACAATTTCATAAGATACCAGGATTCCAGCATATGCCTAAGTGTGACAATCAGTAATTACCAAATTACGTCTCTGATTATATTTTTAATATTTCAGTGGCTGCAGAATTAAAAATTAGGGTATGCATATGTATGGAAATAAGGTCCTGATTTAGCAAAGTATTTAAGCATATTACTAATTTTAAGTAAACAATGGAAGTATTCATCCACTTAAATTTAGGACTTTGCTTAAATATGTTGTTGAATTCAGTACTGAATAAGTAATTCAGGGAGAAATATTTCTTACACAGATTAATGAACTTTTTGGAGAAATATGATTGAAACAAGTAGTGTAAAGTTAAGTAAAAGCCGTTGGGAGAAAACTCTGTCATTGAACATGTGCATGATTTCCATTTTCCTCTACAGGAAATCAAATATATCAGAGAGCTAATTAGGTTTTGATTTGATTTTGCAGAAAGAGAGTGATGGCGGGTTATAAAATTAACATCAACCAAAGAAAAGCAGCAGTAGTTTTTTCCAGATACTTTATCCTCCTCTTACGTTCTTAGTGGCATAACAAAGCAAGTGAAACAGTGTTACAGAGTTTATTTCAGCCAATTTCTGTTACACAGCACCTTTCTCACAGGCATCGAAGAAGGTTTTATAACAATAATAATTTAACTAGAAAATGTTTTAAATCATAATTCAAAAGTCAATTTATGTAACATTTGTTGCTTAAGAGGCAGACTTAGATGGGGGAAAAATTAGATAAAAATAGCAATTCCTACAACTACAGGGCACTGCTAATTGATACTTTTATATGGAGCTTGATTTCAAAATGTGCTAGCCTAAAATAAGTGCTGCATTAATTTTGAAACATGTACAATAGTTTAAAAAAATATATACCCCACCATGGAAAATTAAGTGTTTTGTTTTTAATGGATATCATACATTCCATTGGAGGTGGTCAGTTTGGTTTTCCAAATACACCAATCTCTCCCACATGTATCTGTGGGATTTTAAACAATGCAAGCACATATAAATGACATCTACAGTAAGTAAGTTGAGTTGATATACTGTAACAAAGAATGGGTGACAAGATAATTCCATTTCATTTCATAGCAAAATATCCACAACAAGGAACAAAAAACCTATCATTACCACTAAAATCTGCAGTTACAAGAAAACAATATCTACTGTGCTAGGTTTATTTTCCCCCTAATTTCTCCTAAAAGTTGAAGAAAATCTTTTAAAGTTCTTTCTGACATGTGTTGAAAGTTTTTCGTTACCTAGGTTACATTTCCAGTTCACTATTCTGCAATATGAGCTTAAACAAATCACTTAGGTAACATTGACAAAAGCAGGTGACGCTGACTGGGTAAGCGGTTAATCGGCAGTCTAGCCGGGGTGGAGTGGCCCCTTGCATCTATGGGCTCCTGGTTAACATATAACCAGTTAACTTTTTCAGCGAGATTTTACATCCTGAGTTCCAGCCACAGAGACAGAGAACCAAACAGCAGAATACCACATATTCTTGTGGTTAGGGACCTCCCTGTCATAACATAAGAAACTCAAGTTCAAGCATGTGCTCCACATCAGCACAGGGGTGGGACTGAACCCATCTCTCCTACCTACTAGGTGAGAACTCAACAAATCTGCTAAGGTTATGAGGAGGCTGCCAATGGCACCTGTTTTTTCAGGCAAATTCATATTAATTTCTCTAAACGTCACAAAGTCCAAAACTGCATTTTTCAGCAAGTGTAGCATTTGTTCAAAAAGTTTGTTAGTTCTAACCCTGTTGCCAGCTGGGGCTTTAAAATGCTACTGCTATACAAATAAGAAACAACGGTCATAAGGACTAGCAGGAAAAAAATGAAAAATCAGGAAGTTTGTCAAGTAGGAGAACATCTAAATACTAATTAACCAAAGGCATGACTCCACTGGCAGGCAGCATACAGAAAAGGAATACTTACAGCATTTAGCCCACAGAGCTGGTAGCAGGCCATAGTGACAATCACAGTAATGATCTGCCAGCGCACAGAGCGGTTTCTCAGAAGTTGAAGGACAGACACTAATTTAACACTTTTCTGTGCTTGACTCTCTGCCAAAACTTCTTCTACTTCACGAGAGACATCCTCTTTCCCAAGGAAGGTCTGGAATGCTGCAAAATACAATCACATACCTCAACAAGAAACCTAATATGCTTTACTTAAAAAAAGAACAAGTGAGTTTCAAAGAGTTGATAGGTTTCAGAGGTAGCCATATTAGTCTGTTTCAGCAAAACAACAAGGAGTTCAGTGGCACATTCAAGACTAATAATTTTATTATGACATAAGCTTTTGTAAGTTGCAACTCACTTCATCAGAGGCATGAAGGGAAAGAAAAAAACAGATAGTAGGGATACAGAGATGGAAGTGTTACGTCAGAGCTAAGTCAATCAGGGTGGATGTGGATAGGAAGGTAAGAATATCTAATGTGGAAAATTACTTATGGTAATGAGCAGGGCTTCACAAACCCCGGCGAGAGCCACTCGCCAGCCCCGCGCTGTGCATGCGCAAAGCGCTAGTGAATGGAGCTCATGGAACAACCGGCTGAAATCTACTCGCCATAGGCGAGTAGATTCAGCCGTTTGTTGAGCCCTGGTAATGAGCTACCCATTCCAAATCCCTATTGAGACCCATTCTGATGATGTCAAATTTGCATATGAATTCCAGCTCAGCAGTTTCACATAAAACTGTTGCTCTTTAAGATTCCACAGGACTCCTAGTTGTTTTTCAGAGAGCTGAATACATTTAAAACATTTTGAGTGTTGCTTAGCTCTTTCGTGTAGCTATTCTGCTCCCTGTTTATTGAGCATGGCCTGGCTCATTGTCATCGCTACTATGGAAAGTAATTTTGGGGATCAGTCCTGAGTAAGCTGATAGCAATGGAAATCGAGGTCATTCAGCATTTTGCACGATCAGCCACTATCCTTTATTTGGTGTTTCATACAAATTCTATCCCAAAATACTTGATCAAGTTAAAACAACACCCTTCCCCCACAAAAAAAGTATGGGAACTGAAGGAAAATGTAACCTCATAAATTAACCTCATTTGGCCCTGACTACTTTTGTAGCCAAACTGTTGAACATCTGTTGATGACACTCATCATCATTAGTGGGGAGTTTTGGTAGTATAGTCAAGGTTTTAGTCAGAAGACCAAAAGCAGCAGCAAAAATGACATTACAATGAAGAGAGAAAAGTAGGACATTTCAAGTTATGATTTTAAAAGGAAGTTGTGGATGCAAACATACATAGAAAGAGAGAATTTCATGTATAGTGACACAGATTTACATGGTGCTTGACTGAAAAGCCAAAGAGGCAGGGTCCTCTAGTCATTGAGCTAATGACTCAAGTAATTAGCCTTTGAAGGGACTAATCTCACTCCCATCAAGTCCCAGATGATTTGGAACATTAGTGACCTGAAAATCTCACCTCTCTGATAGTGGTGCATTTTTGATCATTGGAGGCAATTGCCTCATTTAATAGGGAAGAGTTTTAATGTCTGAACTACACAAATGTTTATTTAAATTAAAATAAAGGTCATTTTATGTAAAGCACATACGCACTTTTAGCTATGTTGAATAAGTATGTGTGTAGCAATACATACTCCCTCCTCCCCTTCTCTCTGTTTATGTTATAAAGATGAAAAGGAGGAAGTCTGGAATTCACATAAAACTATCTAACATTGATTAGAGATCTATGATATATCTCTGATATTTCTATGGCCTATCCCCACAATATCCAGAACAAAAGAAGGATTTTTCCAAAGCACCAAGTGATAGCCTAACTCAGTTCTGTGAAGGTTAATCAGAGTTTTATCATGGCCTTTAAGGACAGTTGTATTAGACCAACAAAAGCATTTGTGAAAATCCCACCTAATTAGTTCAAGTAGCAATGAGATGAAGAGACTTTGTTTCTGAAGATAAAATGGGACTGAAAAGTAGCAGAAAGGTGCAGCTGTTATAAACCAAGGAAGGACAGACATTTGGGAAGAAAGATTTTACCCTACTTGCTTCCTAAAACAATAACTACACTTCATGCAGACAGATTTAAGTCAAGGATTCAACTCCTTGGTGTATTAAATGATTGGAAAGAATTACCCAAAGTAGTTAGTATTTTTGCAGTCCCCAACATACATAAAAAACCTGGAATCTACTTCACACCATTCTCCTAATGTCAGTGCTTATATCTCATTAACATGCATCAGCCAAAAACAAAAAAAATCAATCCCCAAACCCACTAGGTGCAATAATATAATGGGTAAGATTTACTGCATTAACTTTTCACTGTGAACATTAAAAGCTTTCTACTGAATTCATGCACAGAAGCATTAGTCACTTTTCAAAAAACCCTTAATTTCAAAGTTGTCCTATGAGTGTGCTATAAATTGTGGATATTTTTATTAAAAATCTGCGAGAACCTACCCTGGGGGTTGGCTTCATAACATATATTTAAATATTTGACATCTTGGAATTATTTGTGCTACAGAGAATCAATTGTATTACAAAGGCTCCCGATAACCAGGCTGTTCTGAGCACAGCAGATGAGTCTCAAAAACAATTATTTACTCAGCAGGTCCCTTAAAATTCCTTCTTTTAAGGAAATAATACCAGTTATTATTTTATTGGGAAGAAAAGTGATAGCATTGCTTTGATTTTACTGACAAAGAAAAAATATGTACTTTTGGTTTATTAGCAGCTTTGCAAGCATTATCTGTAGAGATGTTATGTTCATAGCTACTCTTAAGCACACAAAGGACTTGGATATGTAATAAAACCAGATTCACTGAGTAATGATAATTGAGATGCCCACATTCCATTTAAGATTTGAAATTCCTGGATTGTAGCATTATATAGCAAAAATATAGCTCCTACTGTGGAGTTTCAATGTTATTAGGGATAAGTCACCCAAATCAAACAAAAACCTATAATATCAATGTACCAGGACCTGTACAAGCTACCAGTTCAGTTCTCAGTGGAATTAAAAAGGATTTAGCCAAAATCTGCAGAATTGTCTAACAATTTTAGATGTTTCCATTTTTTCCCCCATGTCCAACTTGAGATGTCTTTAACATCTGTCTGTACTGCAATAAAACACCAGAAGATGTCCATGTCAGCAGATGTGGGTTTGTGGTCCTAAATCTGTGAGGCTGTAAAATTGTAGTGTAGACATTCTGGCTCAGGCTTGAGTCTGGACTCTAGGACCTTCCCCCATTGAGGGATCCCAGAGGCTGGAACCCCACCCAAGCATCTACACTGCTATTTTACAGCTCCATGGCCGAGCTCCAGAAGCCTGAGTCAGCTGCCATGGTCCAGCCATGGGTCATTAATTGTAGTGCAGACAGACCCTTTTAGGAGTTGAATTTTCATGGTGGTTGCTGATGTCTTTCTGAAAATCTGGTCTGTCAAGTTGGGCACCCAAAATGGAGGCAATCAAAATCAGTCAACTTTTGAACATTTTGAGTAATTTGTTTTATCCTCTGAATGCTTTGAGAGCTGCATCCTTAAGAGACCTCATCCCTCAATGCACTATTCTCTATTAGATGTTTCCATCACTGGTACCCCCTCTTCATTCAGAAGAAAAAGAGTTGATAGCAAAGCATTATACTTAAAGGGTTTTTCCCTCTGCAGCTCAATTTTCCCTTTGGTCCAACAGACCACACTATTCTTTAAACTTTCTGGCACACTGCTTAGATTAATCTATTTATGCAGGAATTTTAAGCAAAAGAAGGTTAATAAACTCAAGTTTGAGAATCCTAGTTTTGTGGTTGGGATCAAGAATGTGTCCTTTTATCATGGACAAATTATTTTTCATTGAATTATACTTTTTAAATGATGTACTTAATTCTTGCTTAAATGACTGATGTATTTAGAGCTTGGTATAAGCTGTAAAAGTAGAAGTAAATTTAGGTATTGTATATTTAATGACCTATCTACGTGTCATCATATTATATGCTTTATTGATAAGAATACTAATATTGAAGAGTAGCACATAGGGAAGGTAATAAGGAGTACAATGTCAAAAAGTTCTACTTTAAAATGATTCTCACATATTTTAATGCACCTGTTTTATTTTTTATCAGTGCAAATCAGGTCAGTGCACAATTTTTTTTTATTTTTTCTGTTCTCAGAACCCTCAACATTCCTGTAGGGCATATGGGCAAAACACAGGTGCAGTCAAGTAAAAAGGAAGCCATCTGTCCATTCTGCACAGGGGATTTGGTACATTTCTGAAAAGAGGAAGAAGTCAAATATTGTAAGTACAGAAATGATTAAAAGAGCATAAGGCAGAAAAAGTATTTGTTTTCATTTTCCTGCAGTTAAGAACAGAGATGTAACTGCCAACAGCAAAACTTCACAAATACTAGAAAACACATCAGTAAATCTGTGAATGCTAAGAAACAACTACTTCCCCGCATTAATGCTTAGTAGAGAGCAACTTGTACAATGCTGTATCTTTTTCAGCAGATATTTTACTACTTAACACTTATCCTAGAATTTCTTCCCTTCCAATATTGTCAGAAATATAATTATATAATTTAATAATAATACCTGTTAGTCCAGCATGATTAAAAAATCCTAAGAAAGAATCTTCCTGAAGAAGTGGTGAAAAGCTCAGACTCTCACATCATTTAAACTCAGCAATCATTTGTCAGATGGTTGCACTCACATGCGAATACCATAACCAGGCAAGGGTCAGAGTGGCACAGGTATGCTGGCAATGCTGCTGAAAATTCAGCCTCCAGACCTGGTTATAGTGGCTCAAGAGGGGCACTCAAATATTAAGATACCTCAAATTGCTACTTGCTTTTGGTAATCTTGGCTGTAACACCTTCAAGATTGTGAAGGAGTGAGAATCATTGCTGTAGAGACCAAAAAAGAGGTGAATTTTGAGAAAGTACTCACAGGAGCAAAGTACTGTAGTACCCAAGAAAGGTTTTCCAAAACAGGTTTGTACTGTCTATAGGTTTCAAAATTAATTTTCCACACCAAACAGTAAATAGCATCTCATTTCCTGTGAACACAAGTTTAGAGTGCCTACAGTCCAGATGAAAGCTGCTATCTCCTTATGGAGGTTTAGTTGTCACCTCAAGCTAAAAGTGACTAAAACAGAGCTCCT